AGATATGTTTGATGTGTAAGTGCTTGTTGGATTAGATTAAATAGGACAGATAATCTCTGGATAAAAGTTTATTCGGCTATATGAGAACATCTGTAATCCAAGTTTTAAGTAATATATATGTGTGTGTGTGTGTGTGTGTGTGTGTGTGTATATACACATATGTATGTATGTATGTATGACCAATTTCACTACTTGCTGACTGATATAGAAGTTTGATTTGCTTCATTTCTAACCTAGGTTAGTTTACCACTCTTTAGTCATCTTGGGGGCTCGATACTCTCAGGGAGTCATATATTCATACCAGAATTTGTGTGAACATCCAATCATCTTTAGCCCTACTTCAGCTCAGAACTCCCAGACTCAAGCTATCCATCGGCCTCAGCCCCACCAGTAGCAGGGAACATAGGTGTGCACCACATTGCCCAGCTTTGTGATTTTCCCTGGGGTCACATGGCTGACGTGTGTGTCAGCGGTAGAATTTGAACCCAGGTCTTCCTCATAACAAGGCTTGCTCTCTTTCAAATCTGCCATGTAGATCTGAATCCGAACCAGCATAAGCAATAATAGCAGAAGCAACATAATGTACTGGTTCTAGACTATTGTTCATCCTATCTAGCCCACCACAGCTCAGGCAGCTAAAGTATCTTGTGCTTCCTGCTGACACATATGTGCCCTACCCCCACTCTGGCTTTGTACCTCTTTGCTCTTATTGGGGGAGCAATAACCCAATCAATGTCACTTTTGCTATTATAAACGGATTGATGATCTATTGCCCAGTAGCTCCATTAAAAATCCCTCTGGCTGCTGAGATAAAAACTCCTTCTTTGACCACCACCCTGATACATGTTGTATTCCTCTCAGGGTAGGGATTCTTCACTTTGTGCCACAGACTCCTTCGACAGCTGGGGGAAGTCCATGGACCTGTTCTCATGATCATGGTTTTTTTTTCCTTTTTTTGGCAGTTGTGGTTAAGTGACTTGCCCAGGGTCACACAGCTAGTAAGGGTCAAGTGTTTGATCTGAGGCTGGATTTGAATTCAGGTCCTCCTGACTTCAGGGCTGATGCTCTATCCACTGTGCCACCTAGCTACCCCACCATGATCATGTTTTTAAATGCATAAAGTAAAACCCATAAGATTTTAAAGGAAACTAATTATATTAAAATACAATTATCAAAAAATTTTTAAAGTTCATGGACCCCAGGATAAGAATTCTTGCCTTAGGAGAAAGGGGCAGAGACCACCTCTCTTTTATATCCCAATGCCTAGCTGGGTGAATGGCACATGGTAAGCTCTTAATAAAAAGCTTATTTTTAAAAAAATTTTTTATCCCCAGTGCATGCAGCCCTTGGCCATAGTCACATGAATAAAAAAAAAATACTACAGAATCAGAAGACTTGTGTCCTCAGGAATCAGGAAATACTACAAATTAGAGCTTGATTTATTGTTTTGCTGGTTGTCTAGACTTAAGAAAGTGATGGGGGAAATTTAATAATGCAGATTAAACTTAAATTTGCCATGTATATTGTTTTTCAGAGAGCCAGTTAAATATTTACCAGCACACCTCTGCTTTTTATTCACTAATAATAACATTTACATGTGGGAGGCACCATTGAGTAGTGGGAAGAGCACTAAGTTGGGGTTCAGAAATCTGTAAGACTTGAGGTAAGATTTTTCTGGCATTATTTCAATATTTTTATAAAGCAAGCAGTGTTACTGTCTCTGAGTCTAAGTTGCTGTCCATGGTCCCTCCACCTGCTATGGGAAGGCTGTTATCGTAGCATTTATGAAAACCTAAGTTACTTGTGTTGTGCTCACTCTAAAGTTGTGCTATTACAGAAATTCGGAACGCCAATGGTAGTAGGAACTCAAGGTCATCTAGTTAGAGGTAGATGATGGCACAATGGATAGACTGCTGGGGTCCAAGTGAGGAAGACCTAAGTTCAGTCCAGCCTCAAGCACTTGCTAACTCTGTGACCCTGGGCAAGTCATTTAACCTCTGTTTGCCTCAGTTTCCTCAACTATAAAATGGAGATAATAAGAGCACATACCCCACAGAATTTTTGTGAGGACTAAATTAGATAATATTCCAAAAGTGATTAGCTCAGTGTCTGGCATAAAGTGGGTGCTCTGTAGATACTTCTTCCTTTTCCTTCCCTAGTTCGTCTTCACTCAAATCATAGATCCTGCCTGACAAGTGGACATCCAGTCTCCTCTTGAATAATACCTCCAAAACAACAAAAAAATAACAACAACAGAATAATACCTCCAGTGATAGAGAATTCTTTACATATTGAGACAGCCCATTCAAATTCTGGATAAAACATTTTCCCCCAGGTTGAACCGAAAATCTGTTTCTGTAATGTCTATCCATGAATCCTAGCTCTGTCCTTCAAGGTCAAGCAGAACATGCCCAGGCTCTCTCATATAACTCTTCCAGTACACAAAGACTGCAACCATGTTCCCATGATATCTTTTCATCTCAGTTCAAACATCCATATTTTTTATTTATCTATTCATTCATTCTTTTGCTTGTTTATTTATTTATTTTAGGCAGTTGGGGTTAAGTGACTTGCCCAGGGTCACACAGCTAGTAAATGTCAAGTGTTTGGTCTGAGGTTGGATTTGAACTCAGGTCATCCTGACTTCAGGGCCAGTGCTCTATCCACTGCACCACCTAGCTGTCCCTCAGACATCCATATTTTTTAAACCTGTCTTTGTGTAGCATGGTTTTTAAAGTTATCTCAGCATTCTGGTCACCTCCTGTTTGTCTTCTTTTAAGACTGAAATTTTAAAAAAGCTTCTATTAAGCACCTACAGGCTCTGTGCTAGCATTCTACAGATATTATCTCATTTTATCTTCACAACAATCCTTGGAGGTAGGTGCTAATATTATACCCATTTTACAGATGAAGAAACTGAGCCACACAGGTCATAAACATCTGAGACCAGATTTCAGTTTAGGTCAGTGAGCTGTCATGTCCCTTTAAAAATGTAGTGTATAGAACTGAACATAATACTCCAAGTGTGATCTAACCAGGATAGGGCACAGTTGGGCAATGAAGAGGGTCAAATGAGAAAATGTGTATAAGATACTTTACAACCAGCCTTAAACCACTGTATGAATGTCTGGCACTTAGGTTCAAATGGCCACATTCATGAGTACAGGATGGGGGAAGACACAGCTAAAAAAAAAATCAGTTCCTATTATTTAAAGAAAAGTAGAATGATATCATGGTCATAAAAGCTAATGTATTGATAGAAGCACAGCTTTAGATCTGGAAGGGATCTTCCTTAGACATTATCTAGCTCAAACTACTTCCTTCTGCAAATTAGGACACTGAAAGGGGTGAAGTTTGAAATGCCCAAGGTCACAAATATAGTAAATGGTAGCTCCAGGATCCAGAGCAAAGACCATAGGATTTAGAGCTGAAAGTTGCCTTACAGACATCTACACCTTTATTTTAAATATGAGGAGACAGTGACTCTGACTCCAGAAGTTCAATACCTTTTCCACCATGCTTCCTTTCCCCAATGCAAGGCTGTTAAACTCCAGATTGTTAGCTTTAGGAATCCCCCTCCCATTATATTTGCTTTTTTTGGTTGTTATTGAGGAGAGAGGAAAGGGCCCTGGACCTGGGATTTCACTGGTACAGGTAACTCCCAAATGAGGTAACTGCCTCTATGCTTATTGATCAATATCCTCTCAGCAAGTTAAAGGTTTATAGAATTGCCTAGAACACTTAGAGGTTAAGTGAATTGGCCAGAATCCCCCAGCCAGTTGGTCCTTCTCCAGAGGGAGGGCTTGAACTTGTCTTACCAGCTTTGAGGTTGGCTCTCTGTCAGACACACCAATACCAACATTGTCCCACTGGCCCCTCCACTCTGTCCTGCCTCTGTCTGTTTTTGTCAGCCCATCTGTCCCTGTCTACCCTATCCTTCTTCTCTCTGTCTCTCTGTTTCTGTCTCTGTCTCTCTTTCTCAGTTTCATAAATACGTGGTGCTTTAATATAGCTATTTGAATTACATGAACGACTAACATCACTTTTGAACATAGGATATCAATTCCATAGCTATACTAGTTGGATTTAGTTTGAAAGTCCTCTATATTCATCATTCTACTAATAACATTTCCTGACCAGCCCCTTGTCCTTTTATCTCCCCAAAATGCGTTGGACAAACTTTATAAGATTAGCCATGTGCAATTTCCAATGCTCTAGTTTATTAACAATGTGCAAATAAACCTTTAAAGCTGATATTAATTATATTTCAGCTAAATCAGAATTGTGACACAAAATACTGTCTGTGTTCTCTTTCTTCTCTTCTCTCTCCCTTCCTCCCTCACTTCTTATCTGTTCTAACTCTCATTCTCTATCTGTCTCAGTCTCTCTCCCTCTCTCTCTGTCTCTGTCTCTCTCCGTCCCTTATCTGTCTCTGTCTCTCATAGTCTCTCTGTCTCTCTCTATAGCTGTCTCTTTGTCCCTGTCTCTCTCTCCCCTTCTCTCTCTCTTCCCTCCCTTTCCTCTCTCTCCTTCCTCTTTGTCTCTGCCTCCCCATCTCCCTCTGAATCTCTGTGTCTCTCTGAGTCTGTCTCTCTGTCTCAGTCTCTGTCTCTTTCTTCCTCACCCCTTCTCTCTCTTTCTCTCTCCCTCCCTTCTTATCTGTCTCTGTCTCTCATAGTCTCTCTCCATAGCTATCTCTCTGTCTTTGTCTCTCTCCCCTTTCTCTCTCTCTTCCCTCCCTTTCTTCTCTCTCCTTTCCTGTCTCTCTGTCTCTGTCTCCCCGTCTCCCTCTGAATCTCTGTGTCTCAGTCTCCCGTTTTTGAAGCTGGGCAAAACAACAGTAATAAGCATTTAGAATTTTCTAGGTGATGCTTCCCCAAAGAAGCCCGCCCGCCACCTGATAAGGCTGCATCTTTTGCCTGTACGTGTCTTTCAGCTCACTTGCTCCCGTTTCAGCTCATCAGTTCACATTCACGCACTCTTAGAATTACATGACTTACTTTTACTGTAGATAGCAGAGCATAGCACCAGTGCAGTCCTGGCCACCAATTTCTGATCTGTAGTGGGAATGTAATCTGACTGGCAGCCTAGTACAGTGCCAGAAGGTTCAACACTTGGAGGCTGATGGATATGTTAGGCCACATGTCAGTGGTGATCTGTGTTCCTAGAGGGAGAATCCAGATCAATGCAATCAGGGATCTTTCCAAGGAGAGAATTAAAAGCAGAGCACAAATAAAAGCAAATCCCATAGAAGAAGACCACCTGTCCAAGGAGCCCTTCTTGGTTCTCCTGAAGTTTAGATAACATAAGCAACTAGCATCAAAACAGTTTGCTCTATTGTCCAGGCGTGATTTCCAACACCTGTTAAATTGCCCACTTAAAGAAAGGCCATTTGAAAAAGAAATTCTAAACCCATTAAAGATGCATAAGAACAGTTGTCTCTCTTCTTTCTTTGATTGAGGCTGTCTAACACCTGCACTCATGAACAAGGGTTTGGGCCTCTGGGGTCTCAGGGCCTCTTTTCTCCTAAAGCAAAATGTGTTTTAATCTGCACTTTGCTGCTGGAATAATCTCCCTGACTCCAGGACTGAGGCTCTGCACCTCAACCCTTTTCTCCTGCTGATGGAGTCTTTTGTTCGGCTCCATCCATCTGCCCATTTAAAATGCTGGCTTTTCAGTTTAAGGTTATTTACTTTTCAAAGAGGTAAATTCAGTCTTTTAAAAGACTTCTTAAAAACAGCCTGTAATTTACTTGTTCTTGGTGCAATCAATTCAAAAATATCCCTTCCTGAGGTATTGTATGGGGGCATCTAGGGCTGGTCCTAAAGGGCCATTTTTTCAAACCATTTGTGATACCAGACTTATGAATATCTCCTATACAATGGAGTTCAATGTGCCAACCCTGTATACTACAGTACAAATGAATACATCTGCCTCACTGCAATACAACACCAAGTTGTCTGTAATTTGGCAGATGGGACCTGCCCTGAATTGTTAACCACAAAAGAAAATTCAAGTTGAAAAAGTGTATATTTACTTATATGGGAACATGTCTCCTCTTAGTACAACATAAGTTTGGTGAAGGCAGGAATAGCTCACTTTTGTCTTTTTATCCCCAGCACCCAGCACAGAGCCTGACACATAATCAATCAGCTTGCCTACACAGAGATTCTTAAACTTTGGTGTGCCATGGACCCCTCTGGCAGCCTCGTGGAACCCACGGATCCCTTCTCAGAATAATCTTTTTTTTCTTGGCTAGGCAATGGGGTTAAGTGACTTGCCCAGGGCCACACAGCTAGTAAGTGTCAAGTGTCTGAGACCAGATTTGAACTGACTCCAGGACCAGTGCTCTATCCATTGCACCATTTAACTGCACCTCTTTCACTTATTTTCAATTTTTCTCTGTCTATTGCCTCATTTCTTACTGTCTACAAACATTCACATGTCTCCCTTGTCTCAAAAAAAACCCCTTACTTGATCCTTTTTTCTACTGCTAGCTATCCTCCTATATCCCTTCTGCCTTTTGTAGCTAAACTTCTCAAAAAGGCTGTCTACAGCAGGTGCCTCCGCTTTCTCTCCTCTCACTCTCTTCTCAACCTCTTCCAGTTTGGCTTGCAGTGTCATCATTCCACCAAAGCTGCCCTCTTCAAAGTTACTAAAGATCCCTTAGTTGAAAATCCAATGGCCTTTTCGCAGTCTTCATTCTCCTTGACCTCTCTGCAGCCTTTGACACTGTTGATCATTCTCTCCTCTTTGCTATTCTCTTTTCTCTAGGATTTCAGGACAACACTCTCTCTTGGTTTTCCTCCTGCCTGACATCTTTTTCTCTGTCTCCTTTGTTGGATACTCATCCAGATCGTGCCTTCTAACTGTAGGTGTCCCTCAGGGTCTTGAGCTCTCCACTCTTTTCCCCTTATACTACTTCACTTGGTGATCTCATCAACTCCAGTGGATTTAATTCACATTTCATTAGCATCTCAAATCTACCTTTCCTGCCCCAATCTCTCTGCTGACCTCTAATCTCCAATTGCCTTTCAGGTATCTTGAAACTTTGAGGTCCAGTAAACTGGACATTTTAAATTTATTTATTTTTATTTATTTTTTTGACGCAATCAGGATTAAGTGACTTGCCCAGGGTCACACAGCTAGTGAGTATCATGTGTCTGAGGCCGGATTTGAACTTAGGTCCTCCTGACTTCAGGCCAGTGCTCTATCTAGTGTGTCACCTAGCTGCCCTGACACCTTAAAAAGCTCAATATGTCCAAAACAGAACTCATTATCTTTCCCCTCAAGCCCTTCTTCCCCTTCCTGCTTCGACTATATCTGTAAAGGGCAACACCATCCTTCCAGTCCCTCAAGCTCACAACCTGGCATCATCCTGGATTCCTCACTATGTCTCCTCCCCCAGCCCCCATCCACAACCAAGCTATTGCTAAGGCCTGTCAATTGCCCCTTTGCAATCTCTATGGAATACACCCCCTTCTGTCCTCTGACATGCCACCCCTCTAGTACAGGCCCTTATCACCTCAAGCCTTGCTTATTGCAATAGCCTGCCTTGTGTCTTTCCCTACTCCAAATAAAGTGATTCTCTTAAAACACAGGTCTGATCATGTCACCCCCACTCCTACTCAATAAACTCCAGTGGTGGTGGTGCAGTGGATAGAGCACTGGCCCTAGAGTCAGGAGGACCTGAGTTCAAATACGGCCTCAGACCAAACACTTGACACTTACTCACTCGCTGTGTGACCCTGGGCAAGTCACTTAACCCCAATTGCCTAAAAAAACCCCCAAAACTCCAGTGGTTTCCTATTGCCTCCATGAGCAAATTTAAAATGCTCTGTTTAGCATTCGAAGCTCTTTGTAACCTAGTTCCTTCCTACCTTTCCAGTCTTCTTACACCTTACTCCCTGCTATGTACTCTTTGATCTAATGACACTGGCCTCCTGGCTGTTCCAGGAATGAGAAGCTCCATCTCTCAAGTCTGGACATTTTCTCTGGCTGTCTCCCATGCTTGGAATGCTCTCCCTCCTCCCCTCCAATTGCTGACCTCCTTGTCTTCATCTATATATTAATTAATGCATTCATTAGAACCGTAAGGTTCTGTCCTGTCCTGGAGGTGACCCAGGGCTCTCAAAGGCTCTGCCAGTCCAGCACAAGCTGGAAAGGCTGTCAAGACAGGCCAGTTGATGAACGGCACAAGTGTCCAAAGACCAGCCTGGAGTCTCACCATGAGAAGGACTGCCACCAGGTCATGAACTACTTTGGGCACAGCAGGTTATAAAGACTGTGATATACATCAGAGCAAGGAGTACCCACATGATAACATGATAAGTCCTAGGTTCAGATACTTACTAGCTGTGTGACCTGGGGGAGTCATTTAATCTCCATCTGTCTCAGTTCTCTCAACTGTAAAGTGGGGATAATAAGCACCTACCTGTCAGAGTTGTTGTGAAGATCAAATGAGGTAATATTCTAAAGTGCTTAGTACAATGCTGGACACATAGTAGGTGCTTAATAAATGCTTGTTTCCTTCCCCTTACGGAGAAGATAGTAGAGAGGAAAGGGTACAGTCCTGATTAGGTAGAGAATAGGGGATATATTTTGAAATTATTGATGTAAAAACAAAAGATATTAATAAAATCATTTAAAATTTTATAATAAAATAAGAGGACTGAACTAGAGGATCTTAAAAGTCCCTTTTTTTCCAAAGTCTAAGCTCATATGTTTCTGCTGTACTGCTCTCCCCCATTAGACAGGGAGCTCCAGGAGAGCAAGAATTGTCTTTTGCCTTTTTTTGTATCCTTCTGTTTAGCACAGTACCTAGTAAGGCAGCTAGGTGGTGCAATGGATACAGTACTGAGCCTGGAGTCAGGAAGACTTCATGAAGATGAGTTCAAAGCTGGCCTCAGACACTTACTAACTGTGTGACCCTGGGCAAGTCACTTAACCCTGTTTACCTCATTTTCCTTATCTGTAAAGCTGGAAAAGGAAATGGCAAAGCACTGCAGTATCTTTGCCAAGAAAAATGGGGTCACAAAGAGTGGGACATGATTGAAAAATGACTGAACAACAACTGGCATATAGTAGGAGTTTAATAAATACTGATTGACTGACTTAGGACTATACCACATACATATATATTATATATTTATATTAATAATATATACATTTCCACATATTATATATATATATATTATATGTGCATATATATAATATATATATTTAGGACTACACTGTAGCTGGGACTTCATAGGCTATCTAGGTCAACCCCTTCATTTTACAAATGAAGAAACTCAGGTCCAGGGATATTACAGGATTTTCCCAAGGTTACACAGATGGTAAGCATTACAGGCAAGAATTTAATTAGGACCCTCTGATTCCTGAACCAGAGTTCTTTCCACTCTATTCTGCTACCATACTCTATAAGATCTAGGCATTAAGCATTTCAACCACTTTTCATGTCCATGTCTTGAATCCATAACTTGCTTTTCCTGAAATTTTTTACTTTATAATATTAACCTATATGGAGTTATGATATGTAGTCTGTTGGTATTTAAAATTAATATACAAATAATGTACAATATTAATATTTCTCATATAAGTGACTGCCACAAAAGAAAAGAGTACATCCCTTAACTACATTTTTTCTTATGATTTAAAAATACTATGCCTTCTTGATCATCATGAAATAGTAATTATCAGGTATCCAGATAAGCTACCTTTTATTTAAAAAACTGAGAGTTCAGTTATATCTAAAAAAAAAGTATTCATTCAGGTAAGTAAGCCAGAGAATGAGATTGGAAGAAAAATCTGGTTCCTATATCAGGAGGAACAAGGAGTGTCAGAGTGTTTGTGACTGATTGTTAGCCAACTGGTCATAGTCCAACATCCCAACACGGAGCAGTTGCCAAATTGGCACCCAGCTGTGAAAACCTTCAAGAATGCAATTTAAATAACTTGCTGTTATTTACTTGGCAGATAAATAAATACTCAGACCTGAAAGTAGGAAGAAAAATCTCCCTAAGACCTAGTCTTCCTCTTATTATAGTCTTTCTTTTATTGGACCCCAGGATCTCAATTTAAGCACATTATGTGCCAGGAACTGAACTGAGTCTACAAAGGCAAACATGAAACAATCCCTGTCCTCAAGGAGCCTATGTTTCCTTGGACAAGATATTTACAAAATAGTAGAATACAAAGAAAATGAGAAGAGGAGTGGAAGGAGAGAGGAAGGGGGAAGGAGGTGGAGAGAGAGCACATTAAAACAAGAAGTGAGGGCTCTAAATCACTATTAATTGGAGAAATGCAAATCAAAACAACTCTGAGGTACCACATCACACCTATCAGATTGGCCAACATGACAAAACAGGAAAATGATAAATGTTGGACAAGACTAGGGAAAATTGGAACACTATTGCATTGTTGGTGGAGTTGTGAAATGATCCAACCATTTTGGAGAGCAATTTGGAACTATGCCCAAAGGGCTATAAAAATCTGCATACCCTTTGACCCAGCAATAGCACTTCCAGGGCCGTATCCCAGAGATATCATACAAATGGGAAAAGGATCCACATGTACAAAAATATTTATAGCAGCTCTTTTTGTGGTGGCAAAGAATTGGAAATTGAGAGGATGCCCATCAATTGGGGAATGGCTGAACAAGTTGTGATATATGAATGTAATGGAATACTATTGTGCTATAAGAAATGATGAACAGGCTGACTTCAGAAAAACCTGGAAAGACTTGTATGGTCTGATGCTGAGTGAAGTGAGCAGAACTAGGAGCATGTTGTATACAATAACAGCCATGTTGTGTGATGACTAATATTGATAGACTCAACCCTTCTCAGCAATACAAGGATCTAAGACATCTCCAAAGGCCTAATGATGGAAAATGCTATCCACATACGAAGAAAGAACTACGGAGTTTGAACGCAAATTGAAGCATAGTATTTGCTATTTTTTTTCTTTTGTTGTGTTTTGTTTCCTCTTTTTGGTGGTTCCTCCTATTGCTTCTAATTCTTAGTTACAACATCAGTAACGTGAAAATATGTTTAATAGGAATGTAAACGTATAGCCTATATCAGATTGTGCACTGCCTTGGGAAGGGAAGGGGAGAAAAATTTTAAACTCAAAAGCTTATGGAAGTGATGGTTGATAATTCAAAATAAATTAATTAATAAAAAAACCCCAAGCACTTACTGATTAACCACTTAGTAGGTGCCAGCCCTGCACTAAGCACCAGGAAAACAAAGAAAGGCAGGTGAGTATATATATAAAATGTTTGTGTTTTTGTTTTATTAAAATATTGTTCCTTGTTATAAGAAAAAAATACCAAGAAGTGAGGATCAGGGAAAACTTCACAGAACAAGTGACCTCTGAGTTGAGCCTTGAAACAAGACAAGATTTCTGAGACAAAAGGATGAGGAGTATAGTCCAGGTATAAGGAAATGGGGGATGGGGGCGGAGCGGAGATTTGGGAGATGTGATGGGGTTGGAATCAATAAGACTTAGCAAGTAATTGAATATGGGGTATGATCAAGAGGAAGGCATCAAGTGTGAATCTGAAGTTGTGAACATGAGTGACTGAAAGAATTTCAGTGCTCTTAAGGGAGCTAGGTAGGGCAGCCAGTAGAGCACTGGGCCTAGAGTCAGGAAGACTTGATTCAAATCTAGCCTCAGATGCTTAATGCCTGTGTGACTTTGGCAAAGTCACTTAGCCTCTGTCTGCCTCAGTTTCCCTATCTGTAAAATGGGGTCAATAATAGCACTTGCCACACAGGGTTGCTGTGAGGATCGTATCTTAAATGCTTGTTTCCTTCCACCACCACCCCTTAACAGCAGCAGTTAGAGGGAACCCCAGAGGCTATCGAATTCACTCTGAGCAGGGTCATCCAGGCACCAACTGAAGGTCCCTAGTGAGAGGCCACTTACTGCCCCCTGAGGCAGCATGTTTCCTCTTCCTCTATTGACTTTCTTCCAGAGCTCTAAGGAGGCTAGGAAGATTAGGCAGAAGGAAGTCAGGGAAAACTGGAGAATACTGTAAGTAAGGTACTCAACGATGACCTGGGAAAAGGTCAGTTTATGTGAAAGGGAACAAATTTGAGAGAACAGCAGACCTTTGAAAGGAAGAAATAGCTGGGAAGCAATCAGAGTGGCAAGTATGAGAGCAAGATAGATGGACTGGGTTAAAAGACAGAATGATTCAGGTTTCAGGGAGGAAGGTTAGAAATGAAGGGTTAATAAAAAAAATTCAGGTGAATATCAGAGACAGACAAGTGACATGCAGGTGATTCAGTTAGAACCATGGACAGCTATTCCATTTAGCTACAGAAAGATACATGGGGGAGGGAAAAAGGGGAAGGTAAATAGCATTGGTTGCTGAGATAAACATTCTTTTAAAAAAACATACATTAAAAGGGGCAGCTAGGTGGCTCAGTGGATAGAGCACTGGCCCTGAAGTCAGGAGGACCTGAGTTCAAATCCGGCCTCAGACCAAACACTTGACACACTTACTAGCTGTGTGACCCTGGGCAAGTCACTTAACCCAATTGCCTAAAAAAAAAAGGTTTAAAAAAACATACATTAAGGAAGCAGATTAAACTATAAATATCTTCAGCCCTCCAACATTCACTCTAAATAGAAATTGAATGTTACCTAAAGTGATTATTCAAAATTCCATGCTTTCCTCATGGTTTTTTCTTTTGGTGAATTTCCTCTGCCAACTAATTGTCAGCTCCTGTAGAGGAAAATCAAGACTGTTTAGTGTTATAGAGCCCATGAGCTTGCATTTATTATTTCTTTACATATTACTTTATGCTTGGGTCTCATTTTTATATTTCTTGTTAAGAAATCAGAAGAAAAGACAAATAGCCCCAAACATTGCTGCCAACAATCTCCTATGTCTCAAGTGAGGGCTTATACGGGACTGCTACATCATGTGCTCTTCAATCGTGTTTGTGCTCTGTTGGCTCTGCTATCCCTTTGTCTTTTCTGCGTGTATCTCTATGAGGGTTGTCTAACTTGGATTAAATACCTTTCTGACTAGCTTGATTTGCATAGACTCTAACACAGTGTCACATGTGTATAGGTGCTTAATATCTTGATAATGGCCTGATATACTGCACAATAGGATCATAGCTTTAGAGCTGAAAGGGACTTTGGAGGTCATTTGGTCCAACCCCTTCATGTTTTTCTAATGGCTTCACCTTCTTCTCCAGTTTATTTTTATTTGGGAAGGAAAATGTTTACAGACCATGTCCAAATGATGTCAGTGCTACATGGAGCAGCAAATCTCATAGCTGTTAAAAATGGAAGCTGGAAATGGGTTTCAGGCTCCAAATCCATCTCTTTGTTCCTTGCTCTGACCTTGTCCAATCTTGTCCTACCCCCTTCTAACCCTTAGTGTGGTAAGTGTTTGCTTGAAGTAACACCCCTGAGACACACACTGCACTGGAAAGAGCCCTGGATTTACAGTCAGAAGACCTAGGTTTGACTCCTGATTCTTCTACTAATGTGACTTTTCTAGACCTCAGTTTCCTTATTGGTAAAATGAAGGAGGGAGGGGCTAAGTAGCTTCTAAAATCCCTTTTAGCTCTAAATGTGTTGTCTCGTGAACAAGCTGTTTAATGTCTACATTGACCCCTAATATTTTACAACCTTACCTATTTGGATGCCTATAAACTGGGAGGACTTTGAGTAGGTCAGATCTAACCTGAATGGTTTCCCAGCATATTTGCCCTATAACCCAACTCCACTTTCTTAATCCTGGTCCCAGTAATGCTCCCCAACCACGATCTTTCACCAATTTACCACTCTCAGGTCTTAAGAATCTTATCATGGGTTTTCTATAGCTTACTTAGCAGCACAACTGAGAGTCAATATGGCAGCAGGTCAATGGCACCAACAGAGGCTATGGGGCCAAAATTGAGATTCAACCAAAATTTCTTCAAGTGTTAGGGGAGATAGAAAAATTAAATGATAAATCCCTCTCCCTTCATGTAGTTTACAGTCTGGTAGGGCAATATGAATAAAGATACAAATAACTAACTATAATGCAAAATAAAGCATACTAAGGGCATAACAGCATTCCAACAAAAGAACCATTAGAGAAGTGAAGGCTGAACAAAACCCCAGAATCTTTGACTAAGGGGAGCAGGGAAAGTTTCACAAAAGAGGTGAGATCTATATAGGAGCAGCATAGAGCCCAAGGTCAGTAAATGAGGTTTGGGTTAAAGGCCTCAGGGCCTCTTTTGCTCCTATGGGGCAGCTGATGCTGAGGAGTCTAGCCTTTCTGACTCTGACTCAAATGATCATTTTAAATCAGATTTATGCTGGATATGAGGCACCTGGAAAAGTCCTGATGAATATAGAATAAGACAGAATACTTCATAATTTGTGAATATAAAATATGTCTTCCTCCACCCAAGGAAGAGTTCAGCAAAGAATTTCCTACAAAAAAAAGGGTTACAAAATTACTTCCCAAGTCTTCTTCCTTAACACTGAGAAATCTTCATACCACCTGGCTCCACGTTCTCCATTATCTCCTTGTTAGCAGTCTTTCCCCCACACCCCACTCTCTGACATCCTTCTTCCCTTTGCAGCTGTCTCTGTCCTGTGCTGTCTTCCACTACTAGAATATAAGCTCCATGAGGGTACAGAATGTATTTTTTTTAAAGCTTGTATTTGTATCCCTATGGCTTAGCACAGTGCCTGGCACATGGTAAGCACTCGATTAGATACTTTATCTATCTATACCTGTCGCTTGATGAAGCTCCTGTAAGAAATTAACCTATTGGAAGGTATAACTACTCATCTTGGAGAGAAGGGAGCTCCTCGCTTTTTTCAAAAGTAAACCTTTACCCCTCTCCCCCTTCCTAACTCTCTGTTAGTACCTTTTCTCTTTTGTCAGGCCAGAGAGCTATCAGGTCCTTGAAAGCAAGCTATATCTTCAGAGTTCTCTTCCAGGTTGGACTTCCTCTCTGTCCCCCTCTGGCACTTCTCTCAAGCTGGAGAGAGAGAGAGAGAGAAAGAGAGAGAGAGAGAGACAACTGCCTCTCTCTCTCTCTCTCTCTCTCTCTCTCTCCTTCCCTCTCTCTCTTTCTCTCTGTCTCTCTCTCTCTCTCTCTCTCTCCTCTCTGTCTCTCTCTGTCTCTCTCTCTGTCTCTCTGTCTCTGTCTCTCTCTCTGTCTCTGTCTCTCTCTCTGTCTCTCTCTCTCTCTCTCTCCTTCACCTCCCTTCCCATACCTCGTGGTTTTGGGGACAAAATGTGAGGCAGGATTTCAAGCCAGAGAGCAGGGGAGACTTTTTCCTGTCCCTGAGGGGGAGACTGGCTTCCAGGAAAGGTCAGAAGAGGAAGGTGACTGGGGAGTTGGAGGAGAGGCCGTGCTAGCTCTGCTCTAGGAGAGGCGTGAGGAGAAGGCGCACAACCCGTTTTGTAGATGAACAGAACGGGAGAGAGAAGGCAGCTCCGAGAAGAGAAGCGATCTCTATCTAGAAAAGAGGTTTTGCCAAGCCCAGAGGCCCCCTTAGAACCCGCGGTTTGGAGACAGTCACCTCAGGACAACAGCTCTGCTTTAAGACCTTCAACATGCACTCGTCCCTCCCCCCTCCCTCAGCGCCCTATTTCTCTGGGACTTCTTTTTCTAGGGGTGATGACACCCAAATGGGAGAAATACTGAGCTAGAGGTTCAGCTCCGCGCCTCACCTCCTCGAACCCCTCCCCCCTCACCATCCCTCTTCGGTGTTAGAAGGGCCCAGAGGTTTTCTCACTCGCTAAGGCGAGGCGGGGCTTCTCTTAGAGGTGAGACAGCATCCTTAGGACCCTCTAGTACCAAGAGGCAGAAACCAAGGAAGCAAGGGGTCCTCAGCCTCAAGATCTTCAGATACCCCCACCCACCCACCCACTTCCCTGCTCCCGAATGCAAATTAATATGACAGTCTGGCTTCCCCGGGTAAATGCTCTGCATCCCAGCCCAGCCCAGCCTCGAGAATGCTAATGGAGGAGGTGAGGTGAGGTGAGGAGAGCAAGAAAGGCAGAAGGGGTCGGTGTGATCTCCTAGGGCTGGTCAGTATTCCACTGGCCAAATTTTCAAGTCCAGAGACTGCCAAGGACTCCTCAGCTCTCCAGGGACCCCATGCGATGCTCCCTTGACCCAAGCGCCCACCCCTCAGGTCTGCGCTCATGGACCTAAGATGCCCCGGTTACCTGAAGAGAATTTTAGGAGTCAATTAGCTCCAAAATGCCGACTTGTCCGTAGTTTCCCTGTTCCTCCCGTAGCAGCTGAAAAACAACAGTAGATCCAACCACGCGCTGCTGGAGACAACCCCCTCCTCACCTATCTTCACTGCCCCTCTCTCTCCCGCGACCACCCTCTAAGAGTCCAGTATTTAGGTCGGCCCGCGAGACACTGGGGACCCTGTGGCCGTATTCCCCACCGGGCACGTTCCACTGCAACCCGCCGCGGCGCCGTCAAGATCCAGGCGAAATTCGGCACCCCATGCCGGCGCGCCGCCGCAGAGCCAGGGAAGGGGGGGGAGGAGAAGGAGGAGTGTCAAGGGGGTGGCGAGGCAGAGGTGGCCCCAACAGGAGTGATCTCTCGGGCCGCGAGGGCAAAGGAGAGCGAGAGAGAGCGTTCCCACCCTGCCCCGGGGGCTAGGGGTGCACCCGTACACTCCCCCAAAGACGATTTCTCCTGCGCTGGCCCAATAGGAAACAAACCTGTGAGAAGCCACTCACCTTGCCAGCCCCTTTCCGTTGAAGTTTTCCTTTCGGGGAGCAGGGCTGCTAGGGATTTGCAAGGGGGCCTCAGCTATATACTTCTGGAGCACTGCAGTGTTAGAGGGCGCCAGGGCGCGGGGAAGGGCCCCCTTCTTCCAACTGGCGAAGAGAGGGGAAGCGTAGAGCAGCTGGGCAGCTAGAGGTGTACCCTAATCCGCCCCTCATCCTTTCCCACAAGAGTCTCCCCAAGAAATTCGCTCTGATGGGAGCTGACAATCTAAGAAAACCCAAGTTTCTCCAAGGGCAAGCCATTGAAAAGGATCCCATCTCACTTTCTGTGCCTCCGCGGTCCCCAGTCTGTTACTCCCTCCACAACGCTGGCCCAATTGCCCATGCGGAAGCTATGCTCCCCGAGCTTCAGACTCTTTCCCCTACGTGCTTACCTCCGGCCCGGCTCTCCTGTGCACCCGTTCCCTGCTAGCCGTGCGCTAAAGCCTGAGCTTGGCAGCTGTGCCTACCTCTGGTGCCACCGGCTCCCGCACCAGCCTGGGTTCTTCTCTCCCACAGCAGGAGCTGGGACCCTGGCCAGGCTCAGTGTACTCCTCTTCGGTTTTTTGTTGATTTTTTTTTCCGCCTCCTTGGTTTCCTATTCTTCTCTACGACCTCTGCTCTCCATCTCCGTGTAGTAGAGAACTCAGAAGCAAGGCAGAAAGTAGGGGTTAGGGAGAAGAGAGAGAAAGAAGAGAGAAGAGAAATGAGAGAAGAGAGGGAGCGAAGGAAAGAAGGAGAGAGAGAGAGAGAGAGAGAGAGAGAGAGAGAGAGAGAGAGAGAGAGAGAGAGAGAATCACCAACTAGAAGTGGTGGTGAAAATCTTCCGTGGGGATGTGGCTGCTGGCGTCTCAACCACTCTGGTGGAGGATGGGAGGCAGCACCGTAGTTGTAAGTCCTTGCCTAAAGCTTAGTATCAAGATTCTGAAGCTCTGCCTTCTCTTCCCTAGGACCCTGGACCTTCACAAAGTAAACATCCCGGAAACTTGGCTCTCCATAGATTTCAGGGCCACCATATCCCAAGTCACTAGAGACTACCAACTCCTGTGGTGCTACTTCTCTCTTCTATTCCCATATAATGACACGGCATTGGGGACCCCAGGGCCCTCCTCATTCCTTGCTGGAACTATGGAACCTAAAGAATATTAGAGTTGTAAGGCCCTTGAGTCACATGATCTGGAAGAGCTCTTACAATGGAGATATTTTAGTGCTGATAGGGACCTAAGAGGTCATCTAGCCCGAACCCCTACCTGATTTAGAATCCCTTCTGCAACATTCTTGATAACTAACTAGTTGTCTAGCCTTAGCTTGAGGATTTCCATTGATGGGGGAATTCACTAACTCCTAAGCAAGACGGTTCCACCACTGGACAGCTCTAATAAGAAATTTTTTTCCTTTCACCATGCTTAAGTGTGCCACTGGAATTTCCATTTCCTTTACTCTTAGTTTGCCCTCTGGGGCCATGTAGAACAAGTCAAATCCCTCTTCCACAAATACCTTAAAGTACTGAAGACAGCTACTGTGTATAGTCTGGAGAAGGGAACACTTGATAAGTTTCTTTTTGTTGTTGTTCAGTCAAGTTCAACTCTTTGTGACCCCATTTAGGTTTTCTTGGTGAAAGCACAGGAATGGTTTGCCATTTTCTTCTCCAGCTCATTTTGCAGATGAGGAAACTGAAGCAAATAGGGTGATGTAACTTGCCCAGGGCTAGATTTGAACTCAGGAAGATGAGTCTTCCTGACTCTAGGCCCATTGCTCTAAACGCTGAACCACATAGCTGCCCCCAAGTCTTCTCTACTCTAGGCTTAACATCTTCAGTTCCCAGAATCTCAGAGGTTATCTAGTCCAACTCCTAGCTGTGGAAGAGTCCCTTCTACAATGCACTCTGTCATATAATATCTGATTGAAGACCTCCAATGGGAGGATCCTCTCAAGGTATCTCATTATGCTTTTGCACACCTCTAACTATTGGGAACGTTTTCATTTCCTCAAGATTAAACCTGTCTCCTTGAAGTTCTTACACCTTTGTCCCAGCAATCAATAGGTCTAATCTCCACCTCCTCCCTTCCTGTCACTCCTCCCCCCCCACTCCCACCCTGACACATTTTACCAACAAGAAGCAATTTGGCAAAGTGGATAATTTGCTGGTACTGGAAGGAGGAGAATCCCTACTAGACACTTAACTGTGTATCCCTGGAGAAGTTGAGCTTCATTTTTTTAAATCTGTAAATGGGAATAATAAGTAACACCTAACTTACAAGGTTGTTGTGAAAATGAGATATGTAAAGTGCTTTGCAAACTTGAAAGCACTCTATATGTCAGTTACTACCACTACTACTACCGCTGCCACCACCACCACCACCACCACCACTGCCACTACTACTACTGATAATAATGAGAAAATGAAGGTATAGACAGGTGAAGTGACTTATTATATGGTTGATTTGTTGCAGATCTCCAGGTTCCAAGTCTCAAATTTTTTCCACAGTACCATACTACATAATAGTCTTCATTGTTCAGAGTTTATTGGCTTAATTTATAGAGGGAGGCAGAATAGATGTTATTCCCATTTAACACATGAGGAAATGAAGGCATAAAAAGAGTTGACTGACTTGTCTAAGGTCATTCAGCTAATTAATGGCAGAACTTGACCTAGAACCTGCCTTCTTTCCACCATGTTTGAGACACTTGGTACACATAAAATGCATGGCCCATGGACAGACAAGTAATGGTGTGTCTGGGGAAAGGACCAGAAGACAAGTAGAACCAGCTGAAAGTACACAAAGCAGTCGTGTGTATCCACAACCAGGTCTGTAGATAAGGTCAGCAGAGTCCGGAATATTAGTAGGGCCCTAAAGGAACATAGGCCATGTATGTTTGCTCTTGGAGGAGAGTAGAAGATGATCAGTTTCCTAAAGAAAGGTGCTAGGAGACAAGAAGGGTAGAGAAAAGCAGAAATTTGGTTTTATGGCAAAGAGAAAGGGAATTATTCAGAACAAACATATCTATTTCCCTTACTCCAAACTAAGAGATCATAGAATTTGGAACTGAAAGGGACTATATCTAGTCTAATCCCTCTTATTTTTGTTGTTGTTCAGTCATTTCAGTCCTGTCTGACTCTTTGTGACCCCATTTGGGGTTTTCTTGGCAAAGATACTGGAATGGTTTGCCATTTCTTTCTCTAGCTCAATTTACAGATGAGGAAACTGAGGCAAAGAGGGTTAAGAGGCTTGCTCAGGGTCACATAGCTGATAAGTATCTGATGTAGATTTGAATGAGGAAGATGAGCCTTCGGATTCCAGGCCTGGCACTCTATCCACTGTACCACCTAGCTGCTCCCATTATTGTTATAGAAGGGTAATATTTGTGTTAATTATATTAACAAACTTGGAACAATAGAAGCTCATTGTTCCAAATATTGAAGAATTAGCTGCACAGTTCTTGGCTTTTCCTGCTGGGTCCTAAATAATGTTAAATGATATGAGATGATCAATCATAGGGCTTCATCTAATTATAAAATTTTAACCCAGAAGAGACCTTGGTGGTCATGTAGTTCAACCCCCTTATTTTTAGATGAGGGAAGTAAAGCCCACAGAGGTGATATCTTTTCCAAGGCCTTGAAACTAGAGTTGAGCAACAAATATTTATGGAGTGCTTCTTATGTGCTCAACCTGTACTAGGTGCTATAGATTGCACAAGCACTCTTGTAGCTTTTACCTGTCTATGAAAAACTAAGCTTCTAGGGATTATCAGAGGCATGGTGGTATAGTGGATAGGGAGCTGCTTTCAAAGTCTGGAAGAACTGCATTCAAGACCTGCCCCATACATATATAATGACTGGCAAGTCATTTAACCTCTTCATGTTCCAGGCAACTCCAAGACTCTATGTGACAGAGAAAGTGCTGACTTACATTGATAGAAATTTCCTCATCCAGGGAGTTGGTTATACCAAGGAAATCACAGACTTGGTCCAAATTAGGAATGATGGACAAAATGGGGGATAGTATGATTACCTAGCAGTTCATCTGAAAGGCATGATTAAATAAGTCTGAAATGTGGGTGTTTTAGTCAGTTGGTCAATAAACATTTATTAAGTATTTACTATGTGGCAGGCACTGTGATGGAAATACAAAAAGAAGACAGTCCCTGCCTTCAAGGAGTTTACAGTCTACTGGATTATAAGGTAATATAATGGTTTGAAAGCTTTGTATGAATCAATGGTGTGATGTGGAAGTCAAAAAAACCTCTTCTGTTCTTAAACTGCCTTGAGGGACACAATGTCCAGAAGAAGGGAGCATTTGAACTCCTTTTATGATTAGAAATTTCACAAATTTACAGAAGCGCATTAATTTTTACAAAGTGCTTTAAATACGTTATCTCATTCTATTATCATAATAACCCTGCAAGGATAGTAATATAAACATTATTATCCCATTTTTTCAGATAAGAAATTGAGGCTCAGAGAACTTCTGTAATTTATTCCATATCATAAAACACATGTCAGGATTTAAACTCAGGTCTCATGATTCCAAATCCAGTGTTCTTTCCACTATGCCAGTGGCTCCCAACTTTGTTGAGGATGTCAACCCATTTCTAAATGTTAGAATTTTCAAAAACTCCCTTATAACAGTTGATTTATAATACAGTTACACCCAAACTAATTAGTAATTATAATTTCATTAATTCATATCCAATAATTAAGAAAAACGTACTCTTCCCAGCATATAGAGCTACCCCAAAGTAGAATAGATGGCCTTGGTTGGCAGTGGGTTTCTCTATTTCTGGAGGTCTTTAAGCAGGATGACTTCCTTCAAGGAAGTGAATGACCACTTCCTACTGGATCTATTATAGAAGGGACTCTTGTGGATTTAGTCTGGGTTGGACTAAAAAAATCTCTAAAGTCCAATTCTGAGATTTGGGAATTCTGCATGAAAATTTGCATGCCAAGGTGGCATTTCTTCATCTAGACACAAAACTCAAACCATCTCTCTCTTATTTTTTTTAAGGTAATTGGGGTTAAATGACTTGCCCAGGATCACACAGCTAATACCTGTCAAGTGTTTGGTGTGAGGCCAGATTTGAACTCAGTTCCTCCTGACTCTAGGGCCAGTGAGCCATCCACTGCTCCACCTAGCTGCCCCTGAAGAATCTATTCTCAAAAAGGAAGACATTCTCGTTAAGAAATCAATAAGGCTATAGGATAAAGTCACTGGTCAGAGTCCTTATGGGTATCAAGTGAGAGAATGGGTGTGGAAATGCTATGGAATGTGAACTTCTATTATTGTTAAGAGAAGCAGTAATGTGATGGAAATTGTTCTGACCCAGGAACCTGGACTAGGTTCAAGTCCTAGGTCTGAAACCTTAGCGGGAGACTTCAGTCTGGTTACCTAATCTCCCTTAATCTTAATTTTCTCATCTGCAAAATAGAGGAAA